TGGCTATTAGGAAGAGATTTTTTAAGGTTCTCTCCCATCTTCTTATTCCGCTGCATGGTCAGGCCTTTCAACAGTTTGTGCCCTCCTAAGAAACCTAATTGTCTTAAGGCATTTCGTCAAGAAGTAATATGTTCTCTTAGGCTCGTGAAAGCTGTGTGTTTCCTTCACGTAGTTCATTATAAATAGCAGTGTTTAGGAATCAGACCATGATAAGCATATTATTTTTTTTATCCATGATGGTGATGCTTTAGGCCTGTGATAGTATTTCAGGCTTCTATAATTTAGGTTTTCGTGCCACTGCTTTAAACTGCATCTGTGTTCCACAGGGTTGTTTCTAAGGAAAATGACTGAAACACTGACCAGTGGCACAATCTAGTAATTCTTCCTAGAATAAAAGAAAATACTTAGAGCTGTTAGATGATGCAAGCTTGGTTGTGGTAAATTCCAGCAGGACTATTGTGGTGGCAAGGCTGAGGGAATTGAGCAGAGGGGATAGAATATTACCTTTTGACATCTTTTATGTTGGTGTTGCTGCAGTAGAGCAAGTGAAGTTTTAAATATACTTGGATTGCTTTTTCCTGCCCTGCATGAGTTTCAGTTTGTCTTCTACCTGAAACTAGATGATAAAAGAAAATCTGGAAACTTTTCTTTTAAGAAGGCAGGAAGGATTTCATTTTACTGATATTTTGCTTACATGTTTATTATGCTCCGTAGTTGGTTTTGTATTATGGGAGCTCACAACCTGCCTTTGTGGACCAGGATTTCAGCACATTAGGAGCTGGAAAAGCAGAAGGTGGAAAATATATCTGTCTCTAAATATTTTAGCTTAAGTATAAAGAGAAGAAAAAAAAAGCAAACTCCAGAAAAAACTCAACCTCCCTCCTCCCCACTAGAGAACACAGTGACAGATTTAATGTTCACCTCTATCTTACTTAGTCAGTTGCTATGAGTCAGTTGTGAGAATCCCTCAGGTGCTATAGTAGGAGGTCCTTATCTTTTTTGTAGCTGACATTGTGACTGCAAATTTTTGCCCAAGTTTTCAGCAGTTTGCCACTTTTGCCTGTGTTTTCACCCTGCTTGAAGCATTTTCTTTTTCTTGGCAGTAGTTTACAAAGGAAGTTACATTTAGGAGTTGTTTAGGAGAAACTCTTTCTGTGACCTTTACTTAGAAAGAGAAATAATCACATAAAGAAAGCCCCATGACTTGTCTCTGGATATTTAAAGGCATAAAATCAGATTTAAATTCAGATCAGATTTAAATTTTCAAGCATTCTGTGGAATGCAGCATGTACTTTTTGCTGGCTGAAAGTTAAGGTTGCACGCAGACATCTCTAGGTCCTAATGCTAAAACATTGCTGAAACAGTAAAATTATTTCTTAAGGGTTCTTATCCTGATGTACATGGACTAAGTTTGTAGGAGGAGGAAAACTCTTAAAATAAATGACAAATTGCAAAATAGATTAGGTGTTTATTAACTGTAGCTAACCAGAGCCTACAAGATGTTTAGGTGACTGCGGTGAGATCTGGCATGTGCTGTGCTTGTCACATCACATCCTTTTGTCCTGATGGAGCTTTCAAGAATGACACTGGGGAGCTGCTTGGTTGTAGAGTTCTCATTTGCTTGTCAGTGACCTGGCTGGATAGCCAAAGGAAAAGTGCATTTTTTCCCATGCCTGATAAAGACCTTTCTAGAAAACATGTTGATGCTAAGGTTCATTTTTTGCTTCAGTGTGTAGTAACAGTGTGATGCAAGAACCAGTTAATGAAGAAATTAGGAAAAATATATGGCAATCATTTGAATTCTTTAAACCTCATGTGTGTACAGCAAGGTCTTAGGTCTTGCTGTGGTGAGTGTTCTGATTCTTAATTTCATTTGTGTCAGTGCACTCAGTTCTTTGGACTTTCTTCAGTAGCTTGACAAGCTGAGTTGCTGCTATGTATGCTCCTATTCAAAGATGTTGATAAAAGGAAGATAAAAGGTACAATCAGAAGCTCACACCCGACTGGAGCTTTGAGAGGAACTGAAGACGACCACAGGTGCAACTCTGTTCCAGTTTGAACACAAAGTGTACTTCCCTCAAGTGCAGCAGGTTATTAACTTCCCTATTTTATAAGTTATGCAGCCAGTAATACCAAACTAGGCCACAGCAGAGTAGCTGAATGCTGTGGAGGTTAAAAGGGGTAATTTCTATGGAAATTCAGAGTCTTGTTGAATGCTCCTATCACCCTGAATGGAAGGAAATGCTTGGGACACGCCTCTGTTTTGTTTCCTTGTGGTTGAAACCCTGACCTTGTCTAGGTCATTAGCAAAATGCCAGTTGACTTCCCAAGGGCTCATCTATCTGTGTCTTAGAGGAGTTTGAGTAACCCAGCACTAACAAGTGAAGGGTGGGTGAGGTGAGGTGAGGTGTGGTGTTCGTTCAATTCAGATGCCCTTGTTGCTGTGAGAGCTAGAGGAAGGAAGTGTGGTGAAGATTGGGAAGTGGTGAGAGCTGCTGGCTGACCCATTACACCTCTTTCTGTCTGCTCCCCAGACCAGTTATCTTATTCTGTCACCAACCTTATTATAAAATACTTGGGAGCAGCATTGCTGGTGGAAGAATCTGCACGAAGTAAACCAGCTGTGAATTTACATTGCTAGCCTACCAATTTAGTATAAATTTCTTTGAAGTATGTGAGTTGATACAAAGAATTGTTTCAACAATTAGATCTACATGTGCAGATGAAAAGATTAACTATATCCTGTAGACTTTGCAATCCATCATCTGAACATCTTTTCATTATGTGCTGTGTTTGGCTGCCCAGCTATGTAGGTAGAATGTAAAAAATCTCAAAGTCTTATGTATTGTACAACCTGTATATTTGTCAGTATAGTGCAGTGTAACTTGTTTAAAGATACTTACAGTGTAGAAAAATGCAATCAGTGCTTCTATCAAGACGTGGATGAAAGATTCAATGTATATCTCTTGATTGTAATGGTGTTCCTGAGAGCAGTGTCTGGTGAATGCAAACACAAAAGAAGAAAAAACAATTATGAAAGACTATTTCAGTTAGCTCTGTAGCCTTTCTACACAAGGTAATTTGGTCTTTCGCTGTCTCTTCTCAGCAGCTTAATTTTAACTTTAACATTAAACATATGTTTAACTTTTAACATTAACTTTTAACATTAACTATAATATTTAACTAAAAAGTATTTTTAGTCAGTGCTAGCATTGACCTTAGCATGCTACTAGGGTGTCTAGAAATAGTCGTAACTTTCAAAAGAAACAGCATCAGCACTTCTGAGAAATCTTCTTTTTCAAACTAACCTTTTAGATAGTTTCTCTGGGTTTTATGCCTATTATTGTATTTTCCACACAATTGGTAGATTTCCTTACTTAGTCCATGCACCAAAGCATAGAGCAATTTATTTGCTGTAAAGTTTGCGTGGTCTTACCATACAAACTCAATGCAACGTTGCCTAGAATTTCCAAAAAATCAAGGGTTGTTATGCCAGCCTTGGTCCAGATGAGTGGGATTTAGGCTGACTGACTGACTGACTAAAGACTTTAGTCAAAATGACTTGAATCTGCATGTGGTACAGACAGAGACAGGAAATGATACTGCAGAGAGCTAGCATGATTTGCAGGCTGTTGGGCAGCAAGTAAATAGCAGAGTGCAAATACATTCCCTGTCACCTCATCTGCAGTCAGGTTGTTCATTTCTAGGGGACACCTGAGGGCCTGAAGACTCCAAGCAGTGTTTGGGACCCTGGTGGAGCAGTCATTTCAAAATTGTGCAAGGTTTGCCTTCATGGTAGTGGCAGGTTATTCGTTTGACATAGGACAGGGCAGCAGGGGTGGGCCTGACCTCTGTAGTTACATACCTGGTTAAGTTTTGGTGGATGCCCAGTGTTGGGACCAGTAGAGTTTCTTGGCTCCACTAAATACCATTTCATATCATAGAGATACGAAAACAGTCATGTTTAATAAGAACCAAGTTGTTGCTGCCTGCATTAACACAGGCATTTCTGAAGTTGAAAGTAAGTAATACTTGGCAGCAAGGACTGTTAATTGTTTTTTAAAACATGAAAGTTTGTAAGGATTTGAGTTTGCAAGCTGCAGCACAGCTGGTATCATACTTGACGAATCAGTTGGCCTTTTCAT